ACAATAACGAATGCCCCCGATTAACACCGATTATCACCATAATCGGGAGGAAGAGGTGAGGATGATTGGCCGCCTTCACTCGTGCCATAACTGCCCCACGAGTCACTGCCATAAAGTAAGAGAGTTACCCCGAAATGATCCTGTGAAGAGTTACTCCGAAGAGAACTGCGAAAAGACCTTGAAGAAGTGTGAAAAGACAAAGTGTGAGAAAAGGGACTATCAATGAAGGAGAAAGAGAGTGAAGAATACTGAGGAGGAGAACTATTGCGAGGAGAGGAACTATTCTTGTGTGTGAAAGGAACTATTGGAAAGATTGTGAGGAGGAGAACTATTGTGGAGGACACCATTCCCCGTGGGTGCCCCATTTTTTATTCCCTGCCCCAACGAATTTCCCGGCCCCGTGCCAGTTTCCCCCCAACGGTGAGCCTCCAGTAAATTTATTTTAGTTGTAGATTAAACCCCCTATTAATTATTACTTTTTCAGTCGGCCCCCCTCACTTTTCCCCCATTTTCCAGAGTTAGAGCCTCCCCTTCTTTTTATTATAATATTTCGCGTAGCCGCAAGTGAGTTGGCCTTACCCCCCACCCTCGAGTTATATTAGTTAAAAGGCCCGGATTATTTTGATGTAATAGTTTGTAAAAAGAGTAGAATACAGATAGTCAATGTATAAATCCCCCCGAGTAATTATTGAGAATCCCCCTCCCTCTTATTATTTCAGGTCCTCCCATAAATTATAATAAATTTCCCTTTCATTTTTTAGATTATCGTGAAATTCCCCAATATCGTGCCTTCGCCGGGAATTATTATATTTTCTATTCTCCGGCCAAGGTCACCAGCGACTCGAAGGTCGAAAGTTAAGGATGGCCGAAAGAAGTACAGGGCGTATGGAAATGGAAATTCCAAGTGGAAGCCTTGCTGATGAGGGAAAATACGTGGGAAACAGTGGATCCAGGAATACCACCCACGGATGCAGCACCGCTTGCCAAATGGAATGAAAGGAACCAAAAAGCCTGCGGAACAATTAAGTTGCTAGTTGAGAAAGGTCAAAGGCACCACATTGTCGATAAGAAAACGACGAAGGAAATGTGGGTGATTTTGAGGGAGCATAATGAGGAAGCTACCTTGTCAAATAAAGTGGCAATTTTAAGGCAAATCTACGATTTAAGGCTTAATGAGGAGGGGAACGCGGAGGAGCATTTGTCAACTCTGTGCAACCTAGTGAATCAGGTAACCGCACTAGGCAAGAACTTTGAGGATGACGATATCGTGGCGATAATGCTCAGCAGCCTTCCCGAATCCTACGGCACTCTCGTGATGGCATTAGAAGCTAGGCCTGAGACTGATCTCACTCAGAGTCTAGTGAAAGGAAATATAATTGCCGAATGGAAAAGGAGATCTAATCCGTCAAATACAAGGTCTCCAGAGTTGGCATTGAAGACGAATAATCCACATGAAGGTAATCAAAGTTGTTTCCTTTGTCACAAAAAGGGTCATCGAAAGGCAACTTGTGGAAAATTTCTACTCTCGAAACAAAAGCACAACCCGAAAGGTGGGATACAAAAGGCGTCCACAGCCCAAGCTGACCATAAGGTAAACAGGGACAGTGAGGATGGGAGTGGCAGAGACTATGCTTTCATGGTGTCAAGCAAAACAACAACATCGACTTGGTATTTCGATTCCGGTGCCACTAAGCACATGACAAACTCCGTGAATTTCTTCACAAAAATGAACACGAATTATCGATCGCAAGCACGTGTGGCAAATGAACGTGTGTGCGAAGTGTTTGGGATCGGTTCAGGTATAATCGAATGCCAGATTCATAACGGTGAAAAGAGAAAAATTGAACTTAATAATGTTTTGTACGTTCCATCTTTTGACAGTGGGTTGATATCGGTAAGGATTCTTGACAAAAAGGGATTTAAAGTCATAATAAATAAAGGACGGTTGCCTGCATATAAAGGAACAAGTGAATGTATGATAGGTGACTGGAGAGGGCAAATGTACGAACTGAGACAAATAGATCGTGCTTACAGTGCCCGCGTCAAACATACAGAAAACTGTATACACACTTGGCACAGGCGATTTGGGCATCGGGATCCAGTGCCTATTAAGGCGTTGACGAATGGCGGTATTGCTGAGGGGATAAGAATAACAGAGTGCTGCATCAAGAAGCTCTGCGAAAGCTGCATACAGGGCAAGGGAAAGTCATCATAAGTCGAGATACGGAGTTTATCGAGTTGGAAGAGGACCAGGAGCCAACCAGAACTCCAATAGTCCTGAAAAAGGAGCCTCGGATGGTTTTCATAAGGAGTGACTGTGGGGACGAAGTAGAGAAGGAGGAAGATAATGAACCAGAGCTAACAGGGAATGACAATACAGCAGAAAATTCCGAAATACTGGAGGTATCGGAGAATGATACATCAGGAACCACTGAAGGGAATGAGTCCAGTGAAGGTGGAGTACCATTGATTGACAAATTGAGGACAATTGGTACGCTCACTGGAGAAGACACTAGGAATCAAGAAGAGTCAAGCCTAGATGAAGATGACGAATCAGAAGATGATGAACAGGATTCTGATTCATTTACAAAATCAAGAGGGATTCGTCAAAACAAGCAATTAAATATAAAGCAAAGCTAGTGCACAAGGTTTCTCGCAGAAATTCGGGCGAGATTATGACGAGACTTTCGCGCCAGTAGTAAAAAATACAACAGTCAGGATTCTGTTGTTAATTGCTGCGGAGAGGAAGTACATCGTCAGGCACTTTGACGCTAAAACAGCATTTCTCAATGGAAAATTGAGGGAAACGATCTACATGAAGCAGCCTCCAGGTTATTTCATCGAGGGGAAGAAAGACTGGGGTTGCTGTCTGAAGAAGAGTATCTATGGATTGAAGCAAGCGGCGAAATCCTGGAACGATCGTTTAAATGAGACGCTAAAGAAATATGGGTATGAACAATGTTTTTCCGACAAACGTTTATACAGATCTACTGATGAGGCACAAGAAGTTTATTTCGCTGTGCATGCGGATGACTTCATTATCATCAGTAAAACTGAAGACAATATTGAGAAGCTGAAGAGTCAATTGAATGACGAATTCAGCATTATCGACCTTGGAGTTCACACTTGTTATTTGGGAGTGAGAATACGCAGAGACAATAGAGGAGATTTTTTTATTAGTCAATCAGATTACATCCAGAAGATTCTCCGGAAGGCAAAATTGGAGAATGCTAAAGGATCTTCATACTTGGTGGATCTGGGAAACGGAAAAATTCGAGTTTCATCCCCAGAAATTGTCAATGATCATTATCAGAAGTTAATCGGATCATTGCTGTATATCGCAGTTAACTCGAGGCCAGATATCGCAGCATCCATATCGATATTGAGTCGACACATCAAGGATATGACAGAAGTCGAGTGGAATGAGCTTCAGCGCGTCTGCAGGTAGAGTAGAGTACAGTCAACTATGAGTTGAGGATGAGCCACATCAGGGGAAGAAAATTAGAACTGATGGGCGGAGGCAAGAGACAGCAGGATATCCAACAGCGGTTTCGTCTTCATGCTTAATAGAGGGACAATCGATTGGGCAAGTAGAAAACAAACTTATGTGTCTGTTTCTTCCACAGAAGCCGAAATCGTCGCCTTATCAGAAGCGTGCAGAGAGGTCGTCTGGATTATAAAAATTCTGGATATCTGTCATGAGAGTCCTGTGGATCCAGTAGGAATAATGGAGGACAATCAGAGCTGCATCAATAGCCTGCAAGCTGAAGGGCCAAGCACCAGGACGAAGCACATTGACACTCAGCATTTCTATGCAAGAGATCTGCAGAAGGGAGGAATCGTCAATGTTCTGTATTGCCCTACAGAGGACAACGTGGCTGATATTTTGGCAAAGCCATTGGGACCGCAACCTTTAAAAATGTTGTCAGAAGTGATGGGTCTGAAGGACTGGACTAGAGGCAACGTCAAGCACCGTTGAGGGGACGTGTTGGAAGCAACGGTGACAATAATATTGGCACACAGACATGGTCTGTGAATGTATGTGTATCGGGAACAGTTTAGCCTCTGAGGCGAATTGTAATTTACTCGATCAAAATATATTCTAATAAGCAGACGCTGTTTACTTCTATCGACACCTTTCGAATCTCTCAGTTCCTCGCCTTATCTGTAAAATTATCCGTTGTTACCAACAGAAACGACCAGAATCACGAAATGATCTCGAATCGTATAACTCTATGAAATATATGATTCCTATGGATGTATCTCTCTTAAACCCAAAAGCAGGCATGGGAAACCTCCAGGTAGCTCGGAGCATAGCCATAAACTCGAATTAGAAATCCAATAAAGTTTACAACCATTTCAATAATAAGGGTCTTAGTACTAGCATAGTGGGGGCAGTAGTGGGGGCTTCACAGGTACTAAGGTGGGGAGTATCCCATGAAGCATGTGGCAAGAATTTATCCTCCGGAAGGGTAAAACTTGTCGCGCATCTGATTATTTTTTAATGCACACATGAAAAAAAATTGAAATTTTTCTGATCGACTTATTTCGCTGCTTTTCCTTTACTTGAGTCTAATTTCTCCTCTTTTCCTTTTCTTAAGCGTCACCCCCACTTCGGTTGATCTCAGCGGAGGAGAAGGGCCTTTACGATCTGGGTCATAAAGGCCCATCACCCGATACAATGGGCTTTCGTCTACCCTTTGTTACGCACTAATAGAGGTCGGCAGCACGACTTGCTCTCAGAACAGAGTTGGCCCAGCCCTGCCCAAAAGTATAAACATTGATAACATATATAGAGCGAGCCAATTCCCCTGCACCAAATTCCGTAGGTCCCGTGAGTTGAAGTGGAGACATTGCTTTCATAATTTTGTAATTTTTTATTCAAATTTTCAATTCAATCAAGGATGAATATGAGGAGTAGGCAAGATTCTAGACTCATGCTCTTTAAGAGCTATAGAAACTGTTTTGGGGTAAAAGTGAGCTTTATCGACTTTATCGCTTGAACCGCCGCGTCACGTCTCTCTGTTGGGCCAGGTCCCTAGCTCTTTTTATTATGGCTTGGAGCCCTAGGCTGTCCCTCTCAATGTTCTTAACCCCTTGGTTGTCTTGTCTCTCACGGGTCTGTGTCTCATCGCCCAAAACCTCGGAAATGCCCTCACCTCCCACGCGGCGGATGACCTCTTCAGGTACTGCCGAGTCATTGAGGATGCCCCTATCGAGAAATTTCGCTCCACACTCCGTTTCGGTCTGTTTGAAGGGGATAAGTCTGACTGCCCGCGCTTTGACCTCGCGAGTTTGGGGTAGGGTCAGGATGCCTCTGCCCCGGATGATCCTCGTGTTTGATGCGCGCCTATTGCAGTTGATTCGCAATTCATCCGCGTGCTTGTGTCTCCGACACTTTCTCAGAGTGTCTGTTTCATAATTTTTACTCGAATGTCACATATGCCGGTCTGGCTAAATCGGGGGTTAACAACAATTTGAGTTTCGCAATCCTCGCTCCGGTTGATCTCTCGAATGGCACGCACGGCTCTACAAATGAGGCCCCTAGAGCTCTTATGGCATAGCTTTAGATCTTCGTCGTCGAACTTGATATAGGAATCCAGGTGTTCCGCGATCGCCGTGTAGGGATAGCTCGTTATTATGAACACATCGCTAGGCATTGTTGGCTTTGCGATCTTTACGGGCAGGGCCATGTGTTTGTATAGCGTATATTTAGTCAGTGTTACCATGGGGAATGTTAAGATGATCTATCTTGTCCTTGTGATAATACGCTGTGAGTTCCGCGAGTCGTAGTAGTTCCGTAATATGGGAGGGTTCTAATCGGGCCGGTATTTCCACCCGCTTTTGGGTCTCTGAGATTTCCCGAGCGGCCTTGATGAGGCTTTTTCCTGGCAGTATCGAAGGGTGGAGGTCTCCATTCCTGTGGAACAGGATGGAGTTTATCAGGGTCTGCGTGTCCACCTCATGTTGTGCAATCTCGGCATCTAGTACGTTTAGGAACCCGGCCAACTTTTCATTATATTGGGTCTTTTCTAGCCGATCTATGAGGTACCTGACCGCGTGATGGACGGTTTGGTTGAGGAGTTCTACGGTTTCCCCAAATCTACGTACCTCTGTTTGTATCCTCTCGAACTCCGAGCGGATGAGTTGTGTCTGGTTCGCTATGAGCATTAAGGTATTGCTTGTCTTATTTTTAAGGGATTCGATCGGCTTATCATAATAATCTGCGTCGTCCTGATCCATGGTCCCAAAAAGTACTTTACTAATCTGGCCTATGAATCCCAGGACTGCCCTTTTCGACCGCTCCCCGTCTTCCGATAGTGATTCGTCAGGTCTGAGCATACCGCACTGAGTTTGACCCATTGCGTGACGATTTCTAGCCTCAACCCCAGGAATTCTCCCGCGTCGATGTGGGTCAGCATTTTCCACGTGGTGTGGTAAGTCTGTACCCCTGCGTATTTCATCGAAACTATCATTTCCGTTCCTAATTTCCGTAATTTCAATTTGTCCCGTCTACGGGCTCTCGGTGAGCCTGAAAAAAACACAAAAATCCCTTGTCTTCATTTTCGAAATGGAAAATTTTTCTGCGGGGAAAGGTGACACGTATTTGTCCGGGTTGTCTCGGTACGCTTGGGGACAATGGGGGTGTTGGGTCCCGTTGCGCATCTCGGAGTGTGTGCCCAAGTGTCAATATTCCGTCTCCTTTTTATTGATTTTCTTTTTCCGTGGGTTGTGTGGAAAAATAAAAACAATAAGAACTAATAAAGCCAGTGTTTGTTTACCGTGTTGACCGTGTTGTTTACAGTGTTTATGAATGGTCTGTTTCATGAATTTCAAACGTCAGTGTGTGAATGGTTGTGCTGCTTTTGTAAAGTGCAGAAACTCGTCTACTTCGTGACTCACGTCGACGATTTATGTAAAACACAACTTTTAAAGAGCCCGCCATTTTTTCCCTAATAAGTAATACATATTAAACCTGATTCACATTATCCATTTTACATTTTTATTATAGAAAACTTTGAACAGTTATTAATTCTTTTAAATTTGCTTTTTTTCCTTTTCATTTTAAGATTTTCATTGATAAGAAAGTTATAATCAAAATGCCAGTAAAATTTATATTCTTTTATTCCCGTTATTTTAACTTTAACGCAAACGCGATATACTGACGACCGTCTACAATTGCAAGTTGTGAATTTCCTGATTAGAATTACGATTAAATCGACCACAGGCCTCCTCTATTTATCCGGAGGGAATTGGGCTGTGACACATTTTTTTTTCATTTTAAATTATCACAAAGTTCCTAAGGAAGTACTGAAAAATAGAAAAGCAGACATCTAGGATATTCCAATTTCGAAAATCGCTACTTCATAATTAAAAATCGGGTAATTAAAATTTTACACTTTACCATCGATCGATCAATCTACAACACTATTGATTTTACGGTGAAATACCAAATACCCTTTTTTCTCGAGAGTTTAATCATATGAAAATAAGTCTCATTCGCCTCTTAACTGACGTGTCGCCACCTAGCTTCATTTTTTCTTCCTAGTGTCGGCCTTGAGTTCTTGTCGTGGCCGCCGCTGGCGCATGGTTTCGTATGTCGCCCGTGCGTACATCCTTTCCCCTCTAGGTTCTCCCATCTTTTCGGTTATACCTTGGGCCTGCCGCTACGTGGACGCTCTTTTTCAAAAGTTTGCCGTCATGTATATTGACCTGTCTTATGAGGGAAGACCCCCTCAGGCTGTACCGGTACGCGTGTGTTTTTCGTGTTCGAGTTGATCGTTTTTGTGTTGTTGTGTATTTAAGTTATTATTATATATTTTTTTTCCAGGTACCTCCGCCGGAGGAGCAAGAGCGGGAGATCGCGCTAGATATGGGGGTGGACTAACCTCTGGTGAGGTGTTTCCTCGTTTTCCGTAACGAGGGGGCCACCAATTTTGGTCGGGTGAGTTTTATTCGTTTGATCCCCCCTTTTGTCATCTCTTTTTCCCAGTGTCTCACCCCATTCTCTATTTATTTTCCAGCATAGAGGGTGGATTGGGAACGGTATGCCCGCTATCTTTCCAACGCGAGCCACCCCCATTAAATGAATTTTCTCTTTCTAGATTGTGTAACGAGCATCGGGGATGCCCGTTAGGATCCCCAATAAAAATCCAAAAATGGAGAGAGAGAGAGGCAGTTGGGACGTAGGTTAGGTCAGGGAAATTAGGATTTCCCCCCTTTTGGGGTGGTTTAGAATAGGTTAAGGGTTAGAGGGAGTTTTAGAGGATAGGGTAAGCCCTCCGGATCGGGTAGGTCCGGCTAAAAAGCCGGCGCTCCAGGAAAAAGGGTTTAAGGGATTAATTGGTACGGGTGGAAGGCCGTACGGGGTAAAAATATTAACAACCCCGACGGATTGCCAGAGACTGTTTACGGGTGGAAGGTCCTATGGGGCAGATTCAGTCACTACCCCTACGAATTGCCAAGACTGAATACGGGTGGAAGGCCGCATGGGATAAATTCAGTCGTTATCCCGGCGGATTGCCAAATTAATTAAGGGTTAGGGAAATAAAATTAGGGTTAAGGATTTAGAAATAAGGGTCTTTTAGTCACGAGAATCCCGGAGAACCGATCCGGAAAGAGAAACACGGGCGATAGGAAAATTTTAGGATTGGAGAATTAATTCAAATTTGAATTAATTCCCCTGCGAAGGGCTTGACCTAGAATAAGGTAGAGGGATCCACCAATCGACACCCGATCGATTGGTAGGCGTGATTAGGGGGTCAGAGCAACGCGACACTGACCTCCGAAAATCAGTTGCGCATTAGCCGCGAGAGAAAACACACGTGAGTGAGTAGTGAGACGTGATAGTGCACCATCCCGAGGACACCAGGACAATTAGCTGCCACCAGGATGGTCCAAAAACGAAAGAGAAGGGCAACGAGAAAATCCATCGTGAGTTTTTACGGTTTATTTTGAGTATTTCCCCATTTTTGGCGGCTCCCCGATAATTATTGGCGGATGTGATATTTTTCCGAGCCATGGAAACGGCGTCGGTTGTGTCCCCCAACTTTTGGGTGGTTTTGGAGAGGATTTTCCGAATAATTTCGGCGTACATTATTCCCCAGTGCGGTTGGGAGGTCATTGGGGTAATTTATGGGGTTTTGGGGGTAATTTTGAGTGAATTTTTGGGTGAAATTGTCCACGGCCAACGAACCAGGCCGGTGGTTCTCCCTCGTGGCGCAATCGAGGCCGCCACGAGTGGCTGTATGCAACAGGTGGGAAATCGCGCGTTAAATTTCCTCGTGATTATTAATTGTTTTAAGGGGACTAATTATGCGTCTTTACGCCTGAAATTTTGTGGGGTTGTGGGGGAGAAGGTCCCGAGCCAAATGGTTCAGGGTTTTCCGGAATCTGCCGAGCGGATTCCGAGTTATGGAATTTTGAGTAAAGTTAGATGTTTTTGGGGATTTCTCCTCGCTGCTAACCGAGCAGCGAGGCATAGTGCCGTCTCTCTCGCTCTCTCTCTCGCTCGCGCTCACTCGTTTAGGGGTCCGATTCCGGGAAATTATCGATTTCCCGGGCGAAAATAATATTTCGGTTATTCCTCGGATTATCGCCAATCGATAATCCTTGAGGCCGCATTTATGATTTAAGAGGGGAATTAAAATTATGCTTGGGAATTTTGCTGGGATTCTGATAATTAGAGAGAATTATAAATTGCTAATAAAATTGGGAAGCAGATTAATCTAATTAAATCGTTATCATTTATTATTATTGTACCGAATTTTTACATGAATAGCGGAACACGTAAGCACAATGTTTTGTTGCATATATTTATTTCTCGCCTCCCGTTCCCTTTGATATTTCACCGTCACCTTTCCCCAAAAGCCTAATTATCCTTTCCGTTCCCTTCAGGTTCCCTTTTTGGTTTTTGAGTATGTTTTAGGGTTAGAGTTTTAAGAGTTTGAGTTACGATTTTCGGTGAATCGAATATCGAGGTTAGTTAAGTTTAGGATTAAGGACTTTTTCCGGTTTGGTAATTCCGGTCGAAAATTATCTGGCGCCCATAAGGTTAAATTTTAGCAGGTTTTTGTTAGGCTCAGGGGAAGTAGGGCGAAGGTAATGGGCATTTCCCATTCACCGGGAAAATGTCACGTTACAATTGTTATTCTTTCTGATTATAAATTGAATCCCGAAAACTAAACAACAAGTGCAGATGTGCACTAGCAGTTCAAGCCTTAACTATCCACTAAAGAAAACATTATTTTGTGGTGGTCTGGTCGATTCTTCTTATTCATAACATCAATTAATGGAAGGGTGTTTTAAGAAAACGAAGAATTAAATCATTTCTGTATTAGAGGAACAGAGGATCAAAGGGTCAAAGTACATCTGGCCCTATTTATGTACGATTATTGGACTGTTACAATCTTCCGATATCTTTTGTTACTTACTATGTTTATAGAGGTTCCTGCTGATTACAAATGGTTCCCCATAAATTCAAACCACGCACTACGTAATTGTTCTATCTTCAGCAATGACTTAAGGTTGTTGTCGTGTAAACCCGTTTTTCTACAGATTTTTTTAAAATTTTGCTATAGATAGCTCTTAAATTTCCCTCCAAAATGAGCACAACAAAAAACCAATCGTCAGTTTCTGAGCTGAGATATGATTTTTTGAATTAACATGGGTTGAAATGCATTTCACCGTTTTTATTTAAAAAAAAAAAACCACTCGACATTTTTTGATGAAACCAGCGTATATGGCGTATATGGCTGTTAGAGTAGAGAGCAGAGTAGATTGGGATCAATGAGGTAAAGGGTTGCCTCATTGCTCAATCTTCTGGGGTAGATCGAAGATGTCCTCAACTGCATCTTGACTCTCGTGAATGACGGGGGGCTTCTCTCGGGGTAGATGTCCAGAAAGCCGTCCAAGGGGATCCTATACAAGCTGAATTGTATTGTCGAAGAGCAGCAGTATCTCGAATAGTCCTCAAAACTCCGGTTAGCCTTGAGTTCACTCAGCACCTAAAGGATCCTCATCTGCCAATAGTCGGGCGTTAGCTTCTCCCAGAGATCAGAGCAATTGAGAGGGCTTAGACATTTCCTTAGCTGAATCACCCAGTTGTTTTTGCTATCAGCATCACTCAGAAAGCCTGTGCTGCAGATGGAGTTAGCCAGATCAACCTCATGAAACCAATTCTGGGAAGACGGTGAGATCTTATCTTCAGTATTTTAACGACCCATAGCAGTCCCTGCTTGATAATTTCGTATGAAATATGGTCACAGTCAGTCTCCAGCCTCACTAAATATCCCGCACAGTTTTTCGGAAGATGAAAGAGCCGTTTGACGAAGCTCAGTTGTGCCATCTCCAGCTTCTCCAAGTCTCTCAATGCCCATATCGCAGAGGTGTATAAAAGTTGATCGCACTATACTAGAGTACAGAGCTTTCATCCCTGACCATGAATCAGAGTTAATTTTGGCAATGATCTTCAGGGCCGCTACTGAGGCAGCACAGTAGTCATAGTTAGGTACTATGCCAACCGGACATCCATTCAGTTTAAAATCGTGGTCTCTCGAAGGGAGAGGTCCTCCCCTCCTGAAGACCACTACTTTCGTCTTGCTCACGGTGATGGTAAGACCAGACAACCGGTAGTAGTCTTCTAGGATTCCTAAGTTGCGCCTCAGGTCCGCGAGACCATTGGCTAGCACAATCAGATCATCTGTGTAGAGTAGGAGATTGAGATCCTTCCTGCCGTCAATATTCACTCCAGAAGTTCTCCTCGACCCAAAGAAGGAGACAATATCAGCACGGTACAGGTTAAAGAACAAAGGGCTCAACTTCTCTCCTTGAAGAACCCCTTCAGTGATACCCACTGTATCTGAGCAGCCATCAGAGGTTTTCACTGACAAAGTTGCTCTGTCGTACAGGTTTTTTATGACCCCTATCATTTTAGAGCTAATTCCGATGCTCAAGAGCTTAGACCAGAGGAGGTACTGTGGGACCGAGTCGAATGCTCTGCGGTAATCCACAAAGAGAGCATATATCCGCCCTCTCGGGTGCCTCAGACGATTTTGGACAACAGCTGGGAGCGTGAAAAGATTATCCATAACGCCTCTGGATTTTCGAAAGCCCGCCTGTTCCTCTGGGATTTTGCTGTATCGTTCTGCCCACTCTCATAATCAGTCGTTCAAAATCGAGGTGAATAGCTGGATCTTGACATTAAGCAGAGCAATAAGAGTCCCTCTGTAATCCCACGGATCGTTCTGATCCCCTTTCGTGAAGATCATACGTAGGATTATACTGGTCCAGTCTTGGGGGAGTACCCCAGTGTCGAAAATCTTGTTAAAAAGCCCCAAGAGATAACTTTTCCGTCGGTCGGGAAGGAACTTGTAAAAACCAACCGGAATCAGGTTATCACCAGAAGCCTTTCCAAGTTTATAGTGCTGAATACTCTTGTTCAGTTCGTCCATAGTAATTGAGTTAACCATGGGCTGGGGACGCACAGTCCGGTAGCTCAGTTCTTACATTACTCTAGGTGGATACATCCTGTGGAAGAAAACGCTCCAGTCTCTCAGGTTTAACACCTCCTTCAGCGGATTCCAACCTTTCGCAGCCCGCACCGTCTTCCAATAGACAGAGTGTTCCCTGTTGTTTGCAAATTTATCCACTGTTTCTTTTTTGTAGGCGTTTTTCTTTGCCATCACAAGATTTTTGAACATTTTATTCATGTCACTCGGGTCTCTCTAAACCCCTTGACTGGGGTGCGGAGTGCGCGGTTGAGCCACCAACCGAGCGCGTCTCCGGGTGGTGGATAGGAGGACGGCCGGGCGGAATAACCACCTCGGCGGAGGCCGGGACAGAAATG